AATTGTAGCACTTCTTTTAAAAACTTGAAAGAGACTAGTGGTATTTAAAAAATTTATCTCCATCTTTAACTTAATATGCTAATTAAGAGGTATTTTTCAGCAAGTTTTATAAAGCCTCTACCAGTCCACTTTTATTTCTGGCTTTGAAAGTGAAATACTACAGATTTTATCAGAAAACTACCTCCAGTGCTTATGCTCAATCATTTTCATTGAACCACAGACATTTAATAGCACAGATTCCTAGCCATGGCATCATAAACAGGCATGCAATTTCAAAATAAATAGTACACATGCTTCTAGGCTATATAACCCCCACACACCATTTCCAGAAGAATGGCACGAGTTTTTGCTTCTTTTTCTGCCTGAACTTCTTCTATTTCATCTGCAGACCGTCCTTTCAAGTCATCAATTTCTTCGTCTGCTCCTATTCTGCCACTCTGAAAATGAAGGGAAAAGCTATTTATTACCAAGCCTCAGCCAAAAATTATTTCTCACTTTACAAACACTCTTGAATGACCTCCCTGCCCACTCTCCGAGACATGAAAAAATGCTTAAGCGCTGTATGTCTGCAGAACTGGGCTCTCATTCTGTTCTTCCCACTTAGATTAAAAGAGGAGAGAGAAGATGTTATCCTCATGTGTTTCAAGCACTATGAACTCTGTATGAACTTCCAGGCCCAATCTGAACCACATTCAGTTAAATATTCTAAATAATTTTATATTCCCATCTCATACTCAACATCTCACCACAAGTGTCAATTCACTTCTAATCTAGATAGCTCCTACAAGAAATGAAGATAAGGAACACTGCAAATATCTCTGGTGTCTAATAAGACTCAAATATTAAATATATCATAACAAGAATTCTACATTTACACATCTATATCTAGATGGGACTTGAGGATTAATTTTTTTCTGCTCATTAGCATCTCTAGTATGCTGCTTCCCTTCTTAAAGACATTTCTATGCCAAAAGGTGTACCTTCAGACAGTTATGGGAGAAGAAAACTATAAGCATTCAAACCTCTACACTGTTGGCAGTGAGCTATTAAATTCCTTATGCCTTTTAAGATATCTGAAGGTACAGAGATTTACCACAGTACTGATATACTATGAAAGCCTAATTCCAATCTTACCATTGTATCTACTAAGATTAAAAATAAACAATATTCTGTCTATTCATTGCTTGAAATGACTATATCCATACAAGGAGATAATTTTACACAGCAACTTCCATAACTGCATGCTATGAGTAAGTTCTGAATAATTAGTACTATATTTTTAGCAAATTCCTTCTGCCTGATCAAATACACAACAGTATAAAGGCTTCCAGATGTAACTCAAAGAATAACCAAGATTACTTCCCACCAAGACATGGTATTTCACATTTTAAAGAAAAAGTGCAATAGGCACTTTAATATTAATAAATGTTAGTTATCTTTTGTCTTCTATCAAATATACAAAAAATAGTCATGCCAAAGGTGAATATTCTGAAGGTTCTGCTTAACAGCACTGTAATTATCAATCTAAAATACGGTTTTCCATCCTAAGTCCACCATAGTCACAAGGCAGAGCACCCAAATCAGCCATTTGTCCTTTTCTTGAAAGATTAAGCAGCTGTATTTGACTAAACACGGCAATAGCCCCAAATAACAGATAAGCATTTGACACATCAGAACTCAGGATGGCATAGTAGAAGACTTTCTCTTACCCTCCTACACTAAAACTGTGTTTTATAGGACATAGATTTGACAGAAACTCTTAAAGATAGAATTCTTATTTTTCCAAGACTATGTTGGCCACTAATAGGGATAAGTGTAGTCACTTATTTCTCCCACCTTTCCCACAAGAAGCTACCATAAATACTCACATCCAGCTGCTCCTTAGTAGGTTCTGGTGAGCGATCCGGAATAGACAAGCCAGGTGGATCTTCAAATGGATCATCTAAAATTACTGTATGATTTATCCTTACAGAAAACAAAGTCAAGATCAGTATCAGTCACATGCAAGTAAAAAACTCTCTTTACCCGAGTAAGAGGAAACCAGCCCCACTGACTCTCAGTTAAATCCCAAATATACTGTATGCTTGTAAATACTCATTCTGATGCTTTTGTAAAGGGAACATAGTTGTACATTTTCTCATATAGTTGTTTTTCTTAGTACCTGCTTACTTTACCAATAATACTGGAATAAGAGTATTTAAGATACTATGTACAGTTCACCTGACATCACTATATTAATCTGGTTTCCAAAAAGGAATAATTTGTTCAATTATAATGTATTCCTCAGAAAGAGAAGTAAAAAGTAGTCACACCTGATATCTTGATATGGGATAAAATCCTTATCTACAAAGGTTTCATTAATTGTCTTCAATACATCCATGCCTTCTGTCACTTCTCCAAATACTGTATGCACACCGTCAAGGTAATCCAGGTTCTCCCCTGTTGTAATAAGAAACTAGAAAAGGAGATATAAAACCAGTAACAGTAAATAAAAAACTCAGGACTTGAGTTTTACCTTAAGAGAGGTCCAACTCTCACTGAAATCAGTATGTAAAAAACAACCCTCTTCCTGACTTCTGCAGGAGATTAGTCATCTTCTGTCAGCTCAGAGAACATGGTGAGCCAACCTACAGCTCAGAGCCACTGCGTGAGGAACAGAGGCTCTCTCATACAAGTCTCCCTCCACACAAGCCTGCAGCTCTGGCTCATTGGACCCTTCTAAGAATTGATTTGACTCAGTAACTTTGCAGAAAACTGGACTGGCAGACAAAGAGCAGGTAGTTATTGTTGAGCAAGATCAGCAAAGGATGTGGCAGGCCTCATCGCTGATGAGGGAGAGAGGACAGAAAGGAGAGGGCTGCACCTCTGGGCAGCAGTGAGCTGTCTCATCACCTGCTCAGCAGGTGCATTTTCACAATTTTGGCAAAAGCTCCCATTGTTCTACCTTCACCTTCTTCTATCCAGAACTTTTTCTCTCACTTCTATCACAAACCCTTCTCACCCAAAACCAAGATGCAGCAGTACTGAGAGAACTAGAACACAGTAGCAGCAACTTAGATCAGCTTGGACAGGCACTGAAATGTGCTCTATCACAAACCGCTTTAGAGCAAAACTGAAGCTATGAAAATTGACACCAACTGAACACTCTGGTAACAAACCAGAGCACGGACACTTGGTAATGCACGAAGAAGCAGATGTGCACAGAAAACAGAACCATTACATACATGCTTCACAATCTCACTTGTAACATCTCACTCATTCTCTGAAACACAGTTAAGACTGGTTAGTATTTGGTATATAGGTTATACTAAGTTACACTGTATTTGTAAGCCAACTCCACGTAATTTCCTACTGGATTTTTTCTTTCCCAAAGGACGAAGATGTAACAACGTTCCTGTGAACTGCATTAATTCCCATGGGTCTGTGTATATGCTAGCAGGCTACATTCTTAAATGTAAATATAAATGTCATCTCTTCTTAAATCCCTCATTCAAACAGTTTTATACATACAATGCAAGGAAGCAGCAAAATTACTTCATGTATAACAAGCACTAGCTGGAAAAAAACCCCTACTTTTTAAAAACTGCTCTTCTATTATTAAAAATAATCCTCTTTCTAAAATTAAAACATATGGATATTATAAAGTGACAATGTGTCTAAAATAATTATTTAGAATATCATCCTATGAGATTAAAGCTTTAAATACACCCTCAGGATAAACTCAGTGCTTGTGAACAGGGAACAGCAAAGGGAAAATAACCACTTTCAATAATTGTTTTATAACAGCACTGGGATAGAACTGTAAATTTACATTGTGTTGCATACTTTTATATCACCAGAGTAGACTGTGGTGTGATTTCAGTTTCCAAACTAACACAAAGTTATAACCAGAAAGTTTTAAGACTATTTTAAAATCCATTTTCCTTACTTTTCACTTTCATTTAACTCCAGGATTTTTGCCTGCCCATTCAATAAATTAGCACAGTCACATAAAAGTATTAACAGAAATTAAACAAAAGAAAAAAATAGAGGACTGAATTATAACAAATAAAACTAATAAAATTAATCTAGGACAGGATTTGGATCTGAGCATTTTAATCTCTTTTCTGTCTATAATCAAATACCAATTGACACTTCAAAATACTTATCTATGGCTGTCTTTTTACATGCTTTTTGACCAATGATGCTATTGAGATGACACTGTCACTGTTGTGCCTCTTTTGTAAATTGAAATAATTTTTACTTTAGTTACTTAGACATATGTCAAGGCTTTCCACTGTATGCTCACCTGTGATCCATGCTCATCGTTGCCATTGTTCACCATTGATACAGTTCCCTTTTTCTTGTGCTTTATTCTTGGCACTTTTTCTGCTTCAAAAAATCTAGCTTGATCACCATATAGTTGACTGAAAATACATTTATAACAAACATGTTACACAAGGCAAAGGAACTTTAAAAAGTGAGATAAATAAATGCTGTGAAACAGTAAATAAAACATCTTAAAAATGTTTACATTGGCATTCAAATAAAACTATAGCTTACGTGGAATCCACACACATTTTTATGGACTGTTTCACTTAAATAATTAACTTATATTACAGAGAACAACAGTTTTTTTCTCTGAGACATTTCATAGCAGCTTTTTTTGGTGGGGTGTATGTTTTTAAACGCAGTATATAACATTTTTCTAATGTATGAAGCGAGTATGTATTTTGATGAGTAGGTTCTGTAAAATTAAGCCAATCCACTCTGTAAAAATGTAATGATTTGTGTCACAAATTTCTCTTCCACAATAAACAGAAAGCCACTAATCTGTGCAAACTAAGTTCATCACGTGGACAGGATTGTGTAGAGCAATTTGAGATATATATGATATGGCAAATTGTTACATTCTTTTAACGTCTAACCCTGATATCACTAATTTTGTCTCACTCTGTACCTGAGAGAGGCATGGTCAATACACACATTTGCCCAAATTTGAGGACAGTGTTCTGTTCAAATTCATTTTGCTAAGAGAGGATTCAAATTAAATGCTTCCTGAATCAGTTTCCTGGGAAGCAAGAACAGAAACTCCAATTTCATGAACTTCAGCAGTGATGAACAGCTAGAAAGGACAAATCGCCACTCTCCACGCTAGTAGCAGAACAGACTCTTCTTCTTTCTCATCACACTGTCTCCCTATCTGCCACACTAAAGAGCCTCAGAAGACCAATCCTTCTAAAAAAGTAGAGTATCAAAGTAAACTTGATCTACCAATGTGAAGAGACAGCTCAGCTTTGGCAAGTTTACCTACCTGGACTTGCACCTGCTTAGCCCAATTGCACTGCTTCCCAGACCACCAGAGTGGTGATCCATGCATTCAAGTTTTCAAGGTTGTGCATTTAAGAGGCTCTGACAGAGCAGACTTAGAGTAATCAACACTGGTCTAGCAACACTGCCTCTGTTCAAACTGAGCTATTTAATTCTGTGCTCCATAGCACTCCAGATTTAGTTTTGCTCTTTAACTTTCATTATACTTTAAATAAATATTTCAAAGGAATCATATAGAACATACACAATTTCTAACTTCCATCCTAGCTGTTTGAATAAGTAATTTCCTTATACACATGCAACATTACTAAATGAACACAAGTAAATATTTTTAGAACAGGATAACTTTCTTATAGACAGGGGGGATTAAGTATAGCCTCTATATTCCCCTCCCCTTCATCAAAATACATTTTGTTACAAAAATAAAAGTAGTAACAAACTGCTAATGATTCTGCCTTCTACAGAGCACTTAGTATGATACTTCTCTAACAAAACCAAACCTATAGTTATTTGCTACCTTCTAAACAATTAAATGTATGTGCAACTTGTCAGTTGTAACTTCACTTCTAAGGTCAAGAGACAGAATACTGCTGAGAACAAAAACTGTGAATGGCCAAAGGCAGCAAAGGAATTAAAAAGGTATTTAGGTATGGAAAACAAATAAGCTTATGCCTCAACATTTTTAATTCCCATCAGTAATTCTGCCCCAAGAGAACTGAAGCCAATCCAATTGGAACTTCTGCTCCCCTACAGAACTTCTCTGTCAATCAAGAAACACAGAAGTTTTACTTACCAATATATGGATTCCCCTCCACGGCCAGTTCCCATGGGGTCACCAGTTTGTATAATAAAATCTCTCTGTCACAAAGCAGAATACATAAGATACTACTTTCATGTTTGTGAAATTAAAACAACAACAAAAAAAGAAATTGAAAATACTCACCTGCACATTATAAATAAGACAATAGTTGTAGTACTTGACTTTGCAGAGCTTCAGAAAATTCAGACAAGCTGCAAGAAATTATACCAACATTTACTAAAGAAAACTCCAGAAAGAATAAATATAGCAATACAGATATCCAGTTCCATGTGTAGAAAAGTGTTTTTGGAGCAGACTGTGTTTAGGCTTATCAGTGTACAGGCTATAAAGGCTCTGAGAAATGCTCAAAGAAGACGTAATACTTCCTCACTCCCTGAACCGAGAAAACCTTAAACAAAACTACTTATTAAAAAACAGGAAGGCCTTTTTTCTCTCCTCTAAAAAAGAAAGCTACCTTCTGATTTACAACATATAACATTTTCTCAATTTCCTGAGTAAATACGCATGACATACATAACACACGCATAATTTAAAAAAATATCCCAAACTTCCCAACAGCACTTGATGCTTTTAAGCCCTTCGAACACATTCAGACAAGCAGCCCACGGGGACGGCCGGGGGGATCCTGTGCCCGGCTGAGGAACGACGTGACACGCCAGGACACGGGGCGGGAGAGGCGGCTGCTCCTGCAGCCCCCGCCGGGCAGCCCGGCCCTC